TTAAAATCTAAGCAAATTATAAATAAAACTGCACCTTCTCCTTTCCCCCAAAACACATCATCTCTCAAAAAAGCCCACAGAATCACATTTCCACCTCTGGACAGCAGGCAAAAAAATGTAGACTTCCAAGCTCATCAGAACTTCCGCTCCCATTCCATCTCGTACCCTGAAGCTTAATGCTTTCCAAGGCACTGCTGAGCACTGTCAAAGAAACTTAGACAGTGGTTTGTCTGCCAGGCCAGGTTTTTTCCTCTAACAGAATTTTCTGCTAAAGTGAAAATGCCGCAGGCACTGTAGATTCTGGTTTTTCATCGAATGAAAACAAAAACTTGCTGAATCATTTCTTATTAAACATTAATTTTGTGAGCCCAACAGCTAAATCTATTATTCTGGCAGACAAGCTTTAAAAGGCAGCAAGTTGGGGAGAGAAAGAGTAGTTACTCATATTCTTAAACCCACAAGCATGTCAGAGGTTTGGCTTGGAATCTTCTGCTACAGAATGCGCTCGTTTTCCCCCACTTTCTTTTGTTTCTCTCTGTTAACTAATCACACAGATAACATTTAAAGAATGGGTATACCTGGATTTCTCAGCACCCCATTTGTCATGCTAAACCACTGGCCACTTCATTTTAGGAGAATGTTTTCTAGGTGACATGGAGGCTCCTTGAGCCTCCCTGGCATACCCATCCCTCATAGATGGATCTTTTGTCAAATGTGTCACAGCCTCCGTACTGTGGGCCTGCTGAATTCTTTGCAGTCAGAAAGATGAGTGGGCGTTTCAGAGAAGAAGCCTAACAGCCTGAGCTCTGTGCCGGTTGCTGCCATTCATCTCATGGGCAGTCTCAGGGCAAACGATTCTGGGAAAAGGGAATGTAGGTTCCCTTCTGGTCCCTGATTCTGGCCTTTAATTCTTGAATTTTAACATGTGTCTCTTTCCCCACCCCCACTGTCATTCCAATTTTTTTTTACTTCTCCCCCCTTGAAAAAAAAAATTGCTCAACTTAGTGGGACTAATGTCCCATATGCTTGTTAGGGTAGGCTCTAGTCAAACCATAATTGGTGCTTTGTTTGTTTGTTATTACTCCTGGGGAAGGATAAGCCAGATATTTCCTTAACGGAGCATGTCTACCTCGGTGCTCAGAAAACCTTTTGCTAGAATCGATTTTTCTCTGCTAACATTCTCTTGTTTCCGTTTCAGAGCAGTAAGAGGGGCTTTATTGAGATACAGAAGTAGGCTTTTAAATCTTAAACTGAAGAGTCAGTATGAGCTCTATCCACAGGAGAGGAAGCTTGCCGGTGGGCACTTAACACTGTCATTCCTTTATCCATTATCCTGGTAAATTCCAACTTTCACACTCAAGTCTCATCTCCAGGTACATGACAGAATCTGTGTCAGTTGCATCACTTAACCACCTACTCATGGAGCTGTGCAGACAGACCTGGCCTTGTCCTCAAGGGACTGTGGTGTCTAAAGTAGATACCAGAGAGCAAGTGTGGATTGACTGTTTAACTCCTTCTGACATGAAAGTCCCTGATCACATGTCATTAGAGACAAAGTGCCAAGCTAATGCACAGGTGGTAATAAGTTGCACGTGGTTAGTGTCCTCCCTGGAAAAAAAAAAAGCCTAAAATCCACAGCTCTCATTTATTGAGTGCTGTATGCTAGACACAGTCTCATTTAATCCTCAGAAGAGCCCACTAAGATGGGGATTATTATTGCCCCCATTTTCAAAATGAATAAACTGAGGTTCAGAGAAGCTAACTTGCCCAGAGTTCCACAACAAACAGTGGTAGAGCCTGAATACAACTTTAAACGCCTCCAGTCAAGTAAACTCAATTCTGTGAGGATGGGTTAGAGTTAAGAACTAGCTCTTGAAGACTGAAGTTTTAAAACCATTTTCAGCAAGTCATCTTTGGCATCCCACTCCTCAGTATTGCCAGAGAATAGAATAGAATAAGATAAAATAATATAAAATACCTGCTCTTTATGACATTATTGAATTTGTCTAGCTCATGGTTAGTATTTCTGATCTGTAACATCAGTAGAAATTAAAGCCTGATTCTATCAACACATGATTTAATGGTAACAATAAAATGTGATTTTAAGCTTATTTTCATCTTTCTTCAGTTAACTTTTGCTAGAAATGGTAATCTATGAGTCCTGCAGTTTTTATTGTTAGTTCTTTCCTGAAAAGTAATTCTTAAGTTGAAAAGTTAAAAAGCAGTTCCATTTAGAATGCATCCAAGTAGCTGAATGTTCTGTGCTTCCTGACCATCTCCTGAGGGGGCACCCGTGGGTGCCCACACTGACTGTCAGAGGACATCTGGCTCATGTGGCTCGGACCTGTCAATCACCAAGGAACCCGAGAGAATGAGAAGATTAGATGTTCCAAGGAATGAATCCTTGCTTATATAAAGAAAGTAATTTCTAGTCTAGGCAAGGAAAGCATTTTTATCTGGTGGATGTGTATTTAACAATGTAACCATATTGGTTCCTACCTGGGGCAGTTGGCTTCTGCTCTCTGCCTCAGTTCCCACATCTGCCAGCTCTGCAGGAAACACTGACAAGAATTAATTGGTTTTCCTGAGCCTTCAGGCTCAGTTCAGCTTCCTAATGCCAGCAATCCCACGGGACTCTGCTCTTGCATAATTTATTGTCTAGAAGAGCTTTCTGTTTTCAAGAGTTCTGTCTTATAGGCACCATATACATATAAATTTTCAAATGCCGTATGTCAGAACCTTGAGACTCTTTCATGGTAATTTGTTTAAAAAAAAATGGAACATGACCACATTCCAAGTATTCAGATTATTTGTTGCTTTTATGAGGGTTCTGACATGGTCCAATCTAAAATGTGTGATTTACACAAAGGACTTGTTCCCCTTCCTCTAGTTGGAAATATTTGTAGGGTATGGCAAAGTGGTCCTTCCATTTCATGATAGGTTCTCTGATCAAGACAGAACTGGTAGGGATATTGGTTTCTTCCTAATTGTCAATTCTATTTATAGTCTCTCAAATAATATGTCAATAAAGGCAATCTAGATTCTATTCCATTGTTTAATATCCTACACTAGGGAATCCCCTGTTCTCCGAGACACTACTTTGGGGATATTATATTGATTCTGTTTTAGAGGTAACAAACATATAAAGAAAGTTGTTTCTGACTCCAGGGCAGCCGATCAGTACAAAAATCCCAGAGTGTTGGAAGGGGCTTCTGATTGTCTCATCAGCTCTCTATGGAGTGCTGGTTCCTGTCTAGGCGGGTGCTGGATCTGCGTGTCTATCTGGGACATCACACTTTTGTTCCTAAGATGCAATCCCATGCTACTGCTAGATAACTCAAATTCTAGGTGATTCTTTTACACGATACATGATAGATTTAAAATACTCTTTGTAACTTGTATCAGTCTTAGTTTGTTCTCAGCAGCTACATGGGATAAGTCTATTGGTTCATTGATTGATCTACTCATTTATTTAGTCATTCTGTATTGAGTGACTACTATGTATAATAAAATATGCAAGACATGAGACTCAGACTCCAAAACAAGCCCTTGCGCTGAAAGCATTGAGTGAGAGTAGACTGGTAATGACTGACACAGTCCTGGCAACCACACACATGTAATCTCCCAGAGAGCACCCCCTTCCCTACTCTCCACCTCTCTAGACTATCTCTTTGGGCAAATCTGCCTTGCTTTCTGGTGAATAATTACTTATTAACATCTGGAAATGATTCTAAATAGTTGTGGTAGAGAATACAGGATCCAAAGGTATAGTGAAATATCTCAGGATTGATTTCCCTGCCTCCAGTGAGGTCTGCACGTAGGCTGAGTGCATCTAATCAAAGAAACTTTAAAGATTATTTAGGATAAAGGTCTTGTGTGTGCACACACATGGAGTTAAATGTAGTCTTTTCTCTAGTGGTCCATGTATGGTAGGCAATAATCTATCTTTACTATATTCCTTTGTTGCTATTTCTTTGTTCCATTTCTTTGTCTAACTTGAAATAACAAATGCAAAGGAAGTATAATTACAAACTTAGAAGAAATGTACAGATTTGAACTGGTTTGTTACTCACAAAATTAGACCATTTGCTGAATGAAGTGAATATTGTTAGCAATTTGGGGGAATCTTTCAACCTGTGTTCTACAACCCTGTTACTTGATCTTAACCCTAAACATCTTAATTACTTTCTTTTATTTTGCAAATAAGTACCTAATTGAGTATCTAATATGTGTCTGGCTTTATTCTAGGTGTTGGACTATGTTATCAAACAGAATAGTTTGATTTCTGCCCTCATGGAATTCCTCCCTCTATCTAGCAAGGGGACACAGTCAATAAGTAAATAAATAATTGAAGCGTGTGGCATATTAGCAGACAATGATGTGAGAGAGGAGTGAAAACCTAGAGAAGGTCAGAAGGGATTAGGTTTGCCTGGGAGCAAGGAGGAAGGGCAGATTTCAGTCTGAGATAGAATGGCCAAGGTCCTTAAGTAGGTAGCAGTCAAGCAAAGGTTTGAGGTAAGGGATCAGGTATGCAGGTATCAGGGGAAGAGAGTTCCAAGAAAAGAAAACAACTAGTGCAAAGGTCCTGAGGCAGGAGTGTTCATAGCCACCTGTACTTGGAGTCATTAATATTTTAGATGCAGAGAGAGCCATTTTTCTATTGAAAAATGCCAAGTAAGACCATGCCATTGTATACTGAGGTAGTAGATGTTGAAAATCACTTTTCCGGTTGTCTGGGTTCTGACCCCAGATTCTCTGGGCTGGGCAGCTGATGTAAGCCTCTGTGGTCTGCCTCTCTGAGACACCGGCGCTGTAGGCTCTCAGGGAGATGGGGCGTGTGAACATGCGTGCTCCCAGGGAACAAGGAGCAAACCCTGAGGAACGAGAAGGTCTTGAGGAGGAAGGATGCTATGTCTCCACAGGCAGGGGCGGGTGACGGGTGAGGCAGGAGAGAAGAAGCCAGGCACCCACTCACTGTCTGCTCCTGCTTTGATTCCTAGGTGCAGCAGATGTCGCTAGTGCCATGGATCGTACCTTTTCAACTGCATCAAAAGATGGAGAAGGAGCGTGCTACACATCTCTGATTTCTGACATCTGTTACCCTCCTCGGGAGGATTCTACATATTTCACTGGAATCCTTCAGAAAGAAAATGGCCACCTTGCCACATCAGAGAGTGCTGAGGAGTTGAGTACCCCCAGACCCTCCTTACCAGACGTGCCTGGAACGGAGCCTCATGGCTTACTTAGTTCTGATTCTGGAATAGAGATGACTCCTGCAGAGTCCACCGAAGTAAACAAGATCTTAGCTGATCCCCTGGACCAGATGAAAGCAGAAACCTATAAGTACATTGACATAACCAGGTCAGAGGAGGTGAAATGTCAGGAGCAACGCCACTCCAAGGTGGAGGAGAAGGACTTGGACATAAAGACTAAAAACTCTGAAATCTCAACAAAACCAGAAGAGGTCTGTGAGCCTGAGAAACCAGCTCCTGTGGAGGGAAAAATCCTCAAGGACCACTTGTTTGAAGAGTCAACATTTGCACCCTACATAGATGACCTGTCTGAAGAGCAACACAGCGCGTCTGTGATCACCGCCCCTGTCAAAATCACGCTGACTGAAATTGAACCTGCTGTTGAAACTGCTGCCCAAGAGCAGACCCCGGTGAAGCAAGATATCTGTCTGAAACCAAGTCCTGACACAGTCCCCACCGTCACCGTCTCAGAGCCTGAAGATGACAGTCCAGGATCTGTCACTCCTCCATCTTCTGGAACAGGTAAGCAAACTGGTGTCTCTGCCTTGGAAAAACTGAGCATGTGGAAATCTGAATGTTAAGGAATGAAGATTTGCATTTAGAATATGTTACTACAGGGTCCCCTTCAGTCTCTGTTTAATTGATTTAATTAACATACAAATTTTTTTCCAGTCTTTTACAAAGGTTGAGATCCAGGATTTTCCTTAAAGCCTTGTCAGATTTGCTTTGTAAAAAAGTTTCTTTCTTCATTGGTGGGAAGTTGTAAGGATATCACACTGGGGACATTAAAATGGTTTCTAAAATTGTTGAAAAATGAACAATGATGTAAAAAAGAACAAGAAAAAAAAGAAAAAAATTGGCTTCTAGGCTAGCTTCTCCCCCATGCCCCAAGGCCTCCTGCAGAAATCACTGGGGAGAACACCTTGGTTGTTGCCCCCAGACCAGCTGGACCTCCTTGGGCAAGGTATTCATAACCCCAGCTTCAGCTCCAGGTCTATGGTGAAGGAGGGAAGCCCCCAGGACATTTGGGGGGAGGGGGAGGTGATGAGGGATAGGAGGTTTCTCCTCTCCCTTCACTCTCAGCTTTGTCCTTTGCATCTTTTTTGTCTATTAAACTAAAGTATTTAGCTTCATTTTTTAACTGAGGATTTATTTTAACCAAAAGATTTATTTGGTCAAAATCTTAAAAGCTCGGAATTCTCTAGGCTGTGCTCTCTATTCCTCCTCTGACTCAGCCAGGATCTTAAACGCCACTGGGATGCCACTGGGATGCGTGCTCTGCTCCCAAACACAGAGGGCACGCTTCCAGCCAGGTGGAAGGCCAGAGGGGTAGCTGGAGCTTTCCCACCCCTCCCAGTGTGATCACCTCTCCTGAATGTCCGTAAAGCAGCAGGCTGGAGAGGTCAGTTGGGGGTCCTTGAACTTTCCCCACCTCTCTCTAGTGGCATTCTGACCCTCCCCAAAAGGTCAGCATCTCAGATGAAAGAGCTTCCAGTGGCCTCTCAAAATGGATTCAAACCATCATGACTAGGAGTGAGTGTTCCAAACTTGGTGCTACAGCAAGTCCAAATGTGAAAAGAGAACATTTGATGGCAATTCCTCCTGCCCTATTTCCCTATAGATTTTAGCATCAATTTCTCCCCTTCTCCAACTTTATGTCAAACTCATTTATTTTAAAACCTAAGGTCTCAAGGATCGATGTCCCTGATTTTTAAATTCATTCATTCACTCAACAAACACTTTCTACCTGTGTTATTTTTTGGTCAAGCACTGGCAATGTTGAAATTAAGAAATACATTAGAAACAATCCTTGCCCTCCAGTGGGACCAATGACCAGGATAGTGCTCACACTCTGCTGTCATTTATGTTCTGATTGGAGGGACACAGAATGCTGAGTAGCACTGGGAATCCTGCAGCTTCTTAGGTGAACTGAGTGTTAGGGCTAGAGTTACTAAATCAGTTTAACCTCTTTGAAAACTACTGTTGTTATTTCTTACACTGTTGAGGCCAGTGATTCTCCTGCCCATGTTGAAAGTCACTTTTATGCAAAAAAATACTCATTGAGTGATTTCTATATGTCACACATGTGCTGAGCACCAGAGATATTGCAGAAACCAAGATGTATAAAGTCACTGCCCATGGAGATTACCAGATAGTCAAGGAGACGATAAAAGGAGACACATGCTAGTGTAATTTCATGGTATGTGAGTGATAGAGTGTTGGGTAAGAGGTCAAGAAGAGCCTCTCTAATGAGGTAACATGTGATCTGAGATCTGAATGAGCAGGAGCCCACAATTCATAGAGTGCCCATAGGGGACCCCAGGTACCAAAGGCAGTACTAAGTCTACTGTTTGCAAATTGAGTGGTACCACAAAAAAAGGACAAGAGAAGTATGATATCAATAGCTGGAAGGGTAGGCAGGGGCCAGGGTTCATATGCTAGAATAGAGAATTGGGATTTTGTTTGAGATGTATAGGAAAGTTGAAGCTGGAAAGTGACATCTTTCATTCATCCTTTAACAAATATACATTGGCTGTGTGCTCCCAGCATTGTTCCCTCAGTGCTGGCGATATCATGGTGAAGCACAAGATCCCTGCCTGCATGGAACCGGCAATCAAGTTGGGAAGACTCACACATAGATAACTACATGCAGACATAATGTCAGGTAACTAGAATTGTTTAAAGAAAGGTACAGTATAGGAAGAAGGTGGTGAGGAAAGACTTGTCCCTGCTCATAACTTTGAGCAGAGACCTGAATGGGTGAGGGAACAAGCCAGGTAGACACCAGAGGAAGCGGCACTGACCTCAGGGGACAGAGTGCCTGGAAAAGTACTATGTGTTCAGGGAGCCAGCCAGAAGGTCAGAGTGACTGGCATGGTGCTTTAATTTTCCTTAGTCTCTACCTTCTTTTTAAACAGATATAGCATAAGATAGAGGGAAACACATGGAACATGAGTTCAAGTTCAAGACAGTCATATGACTACATGATTCTGGGTCCTGGTGGGAAATAAGCGACATACTCAAAGGTTGTACCCGAAGAGAGTTTAAGAAGGGGCTTCTTACAGATGAGTAAAGATGGCTAAGAGAACCAAAAAAAAGGTGGCAAGGCACTCAAAGACTTGCAACACCGGGGTGTCACTAGCAACCCTAGACTTAAAGGAACAAGGGGAGGGAAAACATTCCTGAAATTTTCCAAGACCTGGAGCTTCAGAAACAGCAAGAAGTATAAACAGGCCAACATTTCCTTGCTCCCACCCCTTCAGTGATTCCTACTGGCTGAAAATGACTAGAAATCAGAGGGAAAGGCATCCCAGGGAATGCCTTCTATACAATTCAGCCCCTTAGAGCACAAAACAGAACAGAGAAAGATGGATGTGAAACCAAGAGGGCCAAGAGAGGAAAACCAGCACTGTGACTCTGGACACATCACTTAACCTGTGGCCCAGGTGTAAATTGCCTGTAGCCCAGGAGATGCTCATGCAGGGGAGCTCTGGAAGTGTCAGCCACTCCATCTGCACCGGCTTTCCTTTACATCTTCCTCCCCCTTGCTCTGGCCTCCCATTCAGTGTAAGCTAAAATCACTTGTGCATCTTTCTGCTGTTTGAAATCATATCAAACAACTATGTGCGCAAGTTCATAAAGACCTTAACTGCTATAAAAATAGAGTTTGAAATCAAGCAATAAATCTTTTTAAACATAAACCATGTGAGAGATAATGAAGTGGTGGTTGTTTAAGTTACTGAAACAATAGGAACAATATAGATCATACTGTATCTCCACTCAAAAGTCTCCACCGGTCTCTCTTTTCACTCACAATAAAAGCCCTGTGGGATCCCACATGATTTCACTCTCCCTCCCTCTATGTCTTTGACCTCTTTTCCTGTTACTCTCCTCCTGTTCACTTTACACAGACACAGTGGCCTCCCAGTGATACCTCCATCATTGCTCGTACCAACAGACCTTTGCTCTGTCTGTTATCTGCCTGGCATGCTTTTTCTCTGGCTATCTTCATGAATCACACTTTCACTTCCTCTAATGTTGAATATAGGTGTTACCTTCTCAATGAGCCCCAGCTTGACTTCCCTATTGAAAATTGCAAACTCAACCTTTTGTTAACCTTTAAAAAAATAATAAATAAATAAATAAATAAAAGCAAAAAAAAATTTAAAAAATAAATTGCAAACTCATCTCCACCCTATCCCAGTGCTGCTAATCCTTTTACCCTACTCACATTTTCGTCTTATAGCACATAACCTGTAGCATACTACATACTTTACTTAATTATTATACATATATATGTTACTTATGCATTGTGTTCTCCCACAAAAACATAATAGATTTTATTATCTGTTTCATTTACTAATATATTTCAAATGCCCAGAAGAGAGTCTATTGCCTCAGTGAGGATAATAAATGAATGAATGGTATATGGATAAAGAAAATGTCAATTCTTCTTTATAGAGAATTAGAAAAATCTAAACTGTTTTAGCCATTAGAGTTCTTTCACAGTCAAAAAGCGACAAATTAACTAGCCAGAGATAATCTACTCCTCCCCCTCCCTGTATCTTAACCAGTGGCCTCAAAAGTTTGGAACAATGGCAAGTAGTTTTTGCTCACAGAAGAACCAGGGCCACTTTTGAGGATATTCTGATATAAGCCCCTGCCCAATATTTGAGGGAAGATCAAGCTCATAAAAACTATTGTCATGGTCACAGAAACATTAATTCCAAAGGGCACCTGCATGCCTATGTTTATAGCAGCACTATTTACAATAACTAAGCTATGGAAACAACCCAAATACCCAAAAATAGATGACTGGATCAAGAAGATGTGGTACATATATACAATGGAATATTACTCAGCAATCAAAAAAGATAAACACATGCAGTTTGCAGCAACATGGATGGAAGGGATCATGCTCAGCGAAATAAGTCAGAAAGAAAAAGAAAAATACCGGATGGTCTCACTCATAGCAGGAATTTAGAAAACCTAAATAAGGGGCCAGGAAAAAGACTAACTAATACAAAGTAAAAATCAAAATCAACAAGCAACTATAAACCAGAGACATACTATGCGGGTTGGGGCAGGAGGAGCAGGGAGAGGAAGGACTAGGGTCAAAATAAGGGGGGGTGCAATTGTATGGGGAATATAACCAAAATGAAAATGCATACATTGTGCAAAAATGAAAAATGATGTAAGAATTATATAAAATAAAATATTAAAAAAAACTGTTGTCATGGTAATCCAAGTAGTTCCACCTAAGGAGGGGGGTATTAGCAAGATTGCCAGTGGTTGTCTGGCCATCTAGATATAAATTCTCAAGAAGAGGGAAAGAGAAAGAAACAGAAGACCATCAGAGACCCTGCAGGGCTGGGTGCTGGGGTTATCTGCACAGCCTGCCTGGTGAAATAGCAAACACTATATTGTTCCACCTAGTTATGCTTTTCACTAAAAGAGTGAAAATCTTGATTGTTATGGCAACTGTAAAGCTCACAAGTCAAACTATATACAAGGATCCAAATTAACTTTCTTTGTCCTAAAGGAGTATTAATGACAACTGACAAGGAGTAATGGATGGTTTTCAGATTTGTTGATACTGGTTGGTCACCCTAAGAGTATTACATCAGATTATCTGATGAAATCTCTGAAATTGGAAAACTTCCCTGAGAGACTGAATCAGAAATTAAAATGACTTCCAGAATCTTTGCCTCACTGAAAAATGGAAAAATCAAGTCAGGTAATGTTGCTAAGAAATTGCTGGGTCACTTTTGAAAATAGATGGGTATGTCAAACACTGATTAACTGGGAGATAACAGTGTGTGCCTTTTCATTCAGGTGGCCTGTCTTTCCAGCGTAGCCCTGGAAGCACAGACTATTTTTGCCTTAATGAGATATGTGTTTCTCAAGCAAGGAGAAAACATTTCCTCTAATGGAATTTTGTTTTATTTCTTCTCTCCCTGTCCATCTGTCTGTCTGTGTGTGTGCCTCTCTGGCTCATCTTTGCTCTGTGGGACAACAGAACCATCTGCTGCAGAATCCCAGGGGAAATGCAGCATCTCGGAGGATGAGCTGATCACTGCCATTAAAGAAGCAAAGGGGTTATCCTATGAAACCAGCGAGAGCCCACGGCCAGCGGGCCAGGCAGCGGATCGGCCCGAAGCCAAGGGTAGGTCAGGGCTGCCGACCATCCCTAGCCCCCTGGACCACGAGGCCAGCAGTGCAGAGTCAGGGGACTCGGAGATCGAACTGGTGTCCGAAGACCCCCTGGCCGGTGAGGACGGGCTGCCCGCCGGCTATGTGACCTTTGGCCACGTGGGAGGCCCGCCGCCCTCGCCTGCATCCCCGAACATCCAGTACAGCATCCTGAGGGAGGAGCGCGAGGCCGAGCTGGACAGCGAGCTCATCATAGAGTCGTGTGACGCCTCCTCGGCCTCAGAGGAGAGCCCCAAGCGGGAGCAGGACTCGCCCCCAATGAAGCCTGGCGCCCTCGACGCCATCCGGAGGAGCCGAGCCGGGCGCGCACGGGCCGAGGAGGGTGCGCCCAGCCGGGGAGGCCTGGCCGAGCAGGGCTCCTTTCTAAAGTTCCCCCTCGCTGCCTCTCAAGCCGGTCCTGAGCTGCCCTCGGGAGAAGGCGCCCGGGCGCCGGAGGAGGCTGCGGCACAGCGGAAACCCGCGGAAGCCCTGAGTTCCAACCAAAGCCCAGCGGCCACGAAGGGCCCAGGGCCTCGGGATCCTGGAGCACCCCTTCTGCTGTTTCTCAATAAGCAAAAAGGTAAAGTGACAGCTTTCCTGAGCGAAGCTGTTGTCTGCTTAGTGTTCTCCCACTCGGTGCTCTGAGGTTTTCAGCAGAGGGGCAGTTCCCCCTCAGCTCTACCATCAGGCCCTCACCTGGTCAAACAATGACCAGAGAACAATTTCAGGTGCTGGGGAGGAAGTGGAAGATTCGATTCACAGTTGGGATTTGGGTGGCAGAACCACACCTCCAAGTGGTGCTGGGCTGACTGGATGGGAGCAACCCCAACAAAAAGTGATTTTGTGTACACACCCAGATCTCCTGGATGGAGAGAGTGAATGCGCCTTTCCTTTCATTCCAGGCTGGATTTCTTCGGTTGGGAAAGGGTGACTTTCTTGTTATTGACCGGGCTCATGTCCAATAGCTCTACCCCTCACTTCTATACTCCTACCCCCCGACACACACACAGTGATGAGGGAGTGACTCCAGTCCCTCTAAGTGCTGGGTTCTGGTTCCATTTTAGCACATTCCATTTTGAAAGTCAAATTTGTTGATCTCAGTGTCATCCTTTCTGTAACCACAGGAGCAAGGGATTTAGACCTTATCAAGGTGCCCCAGCTAGTCAGGAAAGACTGGGACCAAAGCTGGTTCTAGTTTCTCATGTCACAAGACCTGAGATGACCAATTTTTAAAGTCACTTATAACTTATATTGATTTTCTTTTGGCCATCATATTCTGCCTATGAGAAATCTTAAGTTGACATCTTTAAATGCAAGAAAAATGGAAGTCATCAATTTGTCTTCCAGACAGGGTATGTATGAAGGGCATTCTTGCCCACCCCACCACCCCACCTCGCCCTGCCCAATCGTCCTACACCCGATTGCAGTTGTATTTCAGAATTCAAGAAAGGAATGAGTTAGCTGAACAGATTAGGTGCTGCACAGCCAGGTTGATGAACTACACCGAGGGAAGGAAGAGAACTCTCCAGCACCTGGGTGAAGAACGTCCAGGTACAACTCTAAAACAAGCCCCCAAAGCACAGTTTTATTTAGAGTTTCCTCCCACCATCTCCTCTGCTTTTTGTTTCTTTAGATGTATTTTTTGCCTTTTTGGGATAAATTATTTTAAGGGTACACCCTCCTTCCTGTGTATATGCTAACTACAGTGATGTTAGTAGCAATTAAAGTGTATCATATAAAAATAGAGTACAGAATCTTTCTCATTAGAGATTAGAAGCTAGCTGCTGAATGCTTTAAAGTTGGGAAAGGAGAACATAAAGGAATGTATTAAGATAACCTGCTGCCTAGTTGCCGGTGGCTTAGACACATGACGTGCTGTGGGGATCAGTATAAGTGATTCTTGATTTCCCAAAGAACTCTCCCCTGAGAATTTAATGTGTTTTTTGTGTGTACAATAGGAAGGCCATTTGCTGGCAAATTTAGCAATGGGAATGTGTGTTTGTTAGGGAATATTAAAACGATCTTGGATGTTCTTGCCCCTACTCTGACTGTGGAGGGAGAGGACATTCCAGACAACGTTGATATTAACAACCGCTGGTCCCCAAACCAGGTAAGCTTGGGTTGTGCTGAGCATGAGTTCATATCACAGTCCTGGAACAGGCATGTGTTTCCGTTTGATCCCCCAGCTAATACCCTGAAATAGTCACTGCGTGCACAGTGCTGTTCAGATATACTTACTCTCAAAAGTAGATAAATCTGAAGGCTAATATTTAAAAATATTTATTTATTTCTGCATATAAGAACTGGGGTATAGGTCAGAGGTACGGTGGGAGTGAGAGGAATCACCAGAACAGAGAGGGGAGCAGAACAGGCAGATCTACTGAAATACACTGCTGAGGGGAGCAGTGGGCAAGATAGGAGAGGGCTGCTGTGCCATGTGGGTCAGCTCCCTGGTGGTGGTGGGGAGGGGGAACTCATGCCACAGTATCTGGCAATAGCTTGATAACACTGAGACTTAACCCTTGCACCACCGGGGAGGCCCAAATCTGAAAGCTATTAAGGAGAAAGTGGAATTGAAAAGGCCTACTTCCCTCTCTAGCAAATTTGAGACAAGTATGACAGCTGGGACTGATGGAGTGACCAGACAAGGGGTGAAGAGCTAAGGCAGTGGAAGGCTGCAGCTGGGGATGCAAAGGCTTCAGAGCACCTTTTATGGCCAATTCTGGTGTCATTCTAATCTCTGTGTGAGTTGCTCCATATGGCTTGGACCCTGTGCTGCCAACTTTAGATGTTAGAGAGGAAGGAGTGGCAGTCTTTTCAAAAGATGAAGTCCTGCCAGGGTGAATAACCTCTGCTCTTCTCTACACCGAAAGGTGCTTTGAAATCTAGTCCCCCACTGAAACTTACTGCTCAGCTGCATTATCTATAAAAAGAGCCTAAAAAGGCCCTTCTGGGGCAGCCCAGCACTGAAGGTCCTGGGAGGATGATTCAGTGCCGCCAGCAGGTAATCTGAGCTCTGAGATTCCTTCTGGTCTTGCCAGTGCCATCTCAGCAGGTGAGTGGATCTGTGCTGCCCAGCCTCCCCAGGCTGTTCTTAGTCACTGTCCGTGGACAGTTGGACTGTGCTTATGGTAAGTGCGACTGCCTTGGCAGTGAAGTCAAGTCAGTTTTCATAGTTTCCTGCTCTTATCCACAGATGCCTCTGACAGTATCTTGATTTCAGGTTCATGATTTCAGGTTCATTTGCAAGTGTGCACATCCTTGTGGCTTTGGAATCGTCCCACTGATGCTGAGCTAGGTTTCAGTAAGGTCCAGAAATATTTCAAATAAGGTTTGGCAAGTACCTGATGTCATCATAGCATGTAATGTCAGGGGGCACCAGGCTTCACTGGTACATGTGCCCCAACCCTAACCAGGTCCATTTCTGGAGGCTTGTTATCACTCAGAGACCTTTGTTGCTGTTGCACTGGAGACAGTGCAGGTTCTTGATTTCAGGTTCATTTGCAAGTGTGCACATCCTTGTGGCTTTGGAATCATCCCACTGATGCTGAGTAGGTTTCAGCAAGGTCCAGAAATATTTCAAATAAGGTTTGACAAATACCTGATGTCATCATAGCATGTAATGTCAGGGAGCATCAGGCTTCACTGGTACATGTGCCCCAACCCTAACCAGGTCCATTTCTGGAGGCTTGTCATCACTCAGAGACCTTTGTTGCTGTTGCACTGGAGACAAAATACAGGTCATCAGATTCCAGTTTCCCTGCTCTGTGCACCCCTGAACTCTGCTACCCTCTAATTCCACTCCTCTATACCTTCCAGAATGGCCTATCAAGAACCTTAGACTCTTGGGGTGGATACATTTTCATTGTTGTATGATTAACCCTAACTGTAAGGAACATCTGCTTTTAAAGTCAATAATAATAATAATTATTATTATAATTATATTATAATTATATTATATTATATAATAATAATTAATAATAATAATACTTTCTCAATAAAACACAAATACCCAGTGTGACTCATCAGGATGGGTATGTAGTATTTACCAAACCTACTTGATTGTAGAATCTTTCTTATGACAGAGTGCCTTGGAGTTCATCTCCTAGGGAATACTTTTTGAGAAATCATGATCTTTGTATTGACTTCCATTGCCTGCATTTGATTACTTTTCATTGCCAATCACAAGTACAGTGCTGGGGCCAGCCTTGTGAATACCATGTGGTAGCCTGTTAGAAATCAGATGCCACCCCAGACCTGCTGAATCAGAATCTGCATTTTCACAAGATCCACTAGCGATGGGGACATGACAACCTGTTTTAATGACAGTCAGCTTTCACATTCCTACCTGAAACCACTCTGATAAAGGTAGCCAGCCATAAACTTCTTGCCCTAAACATCTCCTCTTTTCAGTCTTATTTTCTTGTCTTCTCTGATGTCAACTGTTAATGTCAAATATCCTGAAAACTTTAGTAAGGAAGTAATGTGTGCTCATAATAAACTTAAATTGTACAAGATGGTGCAAAATAAAAAAAGTTTCCCTATTCTATCTTCCCCTACCTAATTCTCAGAGATAGCCACAGGCATTTGTTTTATATTTGTTGTCATTTTGTTTCTTTCAGAAGTACTCTTTAAATATTAGAGCATATGCAATTTTTTAATGCACATTAGGTATCATATTGGGCAGGCTGTTTTGTGACTTATTTCATTTAACTGCTAAATTAGGTAAAAGATCTGATCACAAGATCATACTCTCCTGAGAGTTTTTTTTTGTCCCCTACCTCCCTGGTGTTTCTCCTTCCCTTTCTTCCCTTACTCTCTAACCTCTTTTCCAGTCTCTCCTGCTACCTTTCTTGTAGTTCCTCTGTCTCCCTCCTGAATCCTGTCCCTGTCTTTCTTGGCCTTCATTTCTTTGCTCTCCCCCACACAGGTTTCAGCCACAGCCTTATGCACAGTACCTCCCAAGTCCTGGGTTTGGTGGTGTCCTCTTCTCACAGTTCCAAGCCCACTTCCTCCATTTATCAGACATCCTGTGGGCAACCCTCCCCCTTTCAATACATATGTGATTTTTGTCAAAATCTGCTCCTTCCCATCCTCTGCTCCCTTCCCGCATAAACAAAGGTGCACCATTCTGGCTTCACTTTAGTGTGAACAGGGAAACCAAGACTGGATCTGAGCAAATACCCTTTAGCCTGAGACAGTTGTAAAAGAACAGCCTGATTGTCAACACTGCCGTGGAAGTCTGTGTGAGTATCTGGTTATAAAATTATCCTCCAAGTGATCCAACATGTTCCTAATATTTGAAAATGTATTTCCAAAATAAAAATGCAAAATATGAAAATTCTCATTGTGGAGCTTTCAAGCCTGCAATCCAGTTTGAAAAATGTCAGTTTAAGCCACTGGTTCCCAAGATATAGCCTCGGTACCAGCACCTCAGACTCTCTGGGAGAGCTGATCAAACATGGCAGCTTTCTGCTCTACCCCCCATCCCAAAACTGCAGAGTCAGAATAAGCCAGAACATAAACCTGCACTTTTATCAAGCTTGCTGAGGGGAATTTTGGTTGTATGCAGATGAGCTA